ATATATCTATATATATACATGGACGAAATCAAGCTGTATGCCAAGAATGAGCAAGACATTGACTCACTGATCCACCTAACTAGGATATACAGCAGGGATATCGGAATGTCGTTCGGACTAGAAAAATGCAGATGCATGATAGAAAAAAGAGGGAAGATGATCAGGACAGAAGGAGTTCAAGTTCAAGAAGGCCAAATAGAAGATGTAGAGAACAGCTGCAAGTACCTGGGGGTACCACAAATGCATGGCAACCATGAGGAAGAGGCAAGGAGTATAGCAACATCCATGTACTTCCAAAGAGTCAGTCAGGTCCAGAAGTCCTAGCTCAATGGCAAGAACAAGATCCAAGCCATCAACACATATGCCCTACCAGTCATCAGGTACCCAGCTAGAATTATAACCTGACCAAGAAAAGAACTGGTCACCATGGATGCCAAGACCAGGAAACTACTCACTATGAATGGAGGATTCCACCCGAAATCTAGCACCCAGAGACTGTACACCAGTCGGAAAGAAGGAGGTTGGGGCCTGATGAGTGTCAAGGCCACATTCCTGGATGAAACACAGAGCATCCACAAGTACATCATGAAGATGGCTCCCAAAGATGAACTGCTAAGGGAATACCTGAGATTTCCACAGATCGAGGAGGTTCCTTGGCAAGACAAACCTCTCCATGGGGTGTACCACCGACAGATAGTGGATGTGGCTCACATGACAAAATCCTACCAGTGGTTGGAAAAGGCAGGACTGAAAGACAGTACTGAGGCACTAATCCTAGCAGTACAGGAGCTGGCACTAAGCACAAGATCAATAGATACTAGACAAGACCCAAGGTACAGACTGTGCAAAGAGGCCTCTGAGACAGTCCAGCACCTAGTAGCCGGATGCAAGATGTTAGCAGGAACAGCATACACAGAGAGACACAACCAAGTCGCTGAGATTGTGTACCGAAACATCAGCACAGGATATGGATTGGATCTGCCTTAGTCCAGATGGGAGATACCACAAAAGGTAGTTGAGAATGACAGGGCTAAGATCCTGTGGGACTTCAAGATCCAGATAGACAAGCAAGTGCTGGCCAACCAACCAGACATCATGGTGGTAGACAAGGAATGAAAGACTGTAGTCATGGTGAATGTGGCAACACCCAGTGACTATAACATCAGGAAGAAAGAACATGAGAATGTGGACAAATATCAAGGACTGAAAGAAGAACTAGAAAGGATGTGGAAAGTGAAGGCAGTAGTAGTCCCAGTTGTGATAGGAGCACTCGGGGCTGTGACTCCCAAGTTGGGGGAGTGGCTGCAACAGATTCCAGGTGGGACATCTGAGATCGCTGTCCAGAAGAATGCTGTTCCAGGAAGATACGGCACAGAACCCTCAAACTCCCAGGCCTCTGGTAGAAGACCCGAGAATGAGGAATAAACCAGGAGGGGTGAGAAAATCTTTTTTTATATATGTACAGAATATGCTGCTTATTTTTTTTCCCCTCTATTGGACACTTCTCATTAAATCTGTGAAAAAAAGTTCACAAAAATTGAAAAGTGAATTTCAAATGTAAGGCCAAGGTTTCTGAACTGAAAGCATAGCTGAATTTTAAAAGGCAGGTTATTTTTTACCTTTAATTTGACATTCACATCAAATTTAATATGAATTCTCACTTTAGGGAATAACCCTGTATCTGGCTGCCACCTAACCATAAGCCATCATTTTTTTACATCAATCCATCAATCTTTTTTTGGTGCCATTAATGGAACATCAAAGCATAAAACAAACAGAGCGGCTAATTCAATATTTATTTTTTTTTGTTTTGTGATTTATCCATATGGCATTTTGGAGTTTGGGATTTTAGATAAATCGCCCATCACCAAAAAAATGTGTTTGAAACCAAATCATTCGTTGCAATATTCCACACTTGAGTTCTCATCAATTTTAGCTCTAGCCATCTTAGCAGTTTTCCTTAATTCACTCTTTATCTGATGTTGCCTAGCAACAAATCAACAGGAAAAAGTAATCAATATATTAACAGATTGGAAAACTGTGGTTTTTATAATACGTATGTATTATCTTGAAGTATTTACTGGTTGTAATTAAATTATGTATGATTAGTATTTACTACAGGTAAAATGCAGGGAGTGGCCAGGTATTTCTTATCTTAGTAGAATGAGATGAGAGGAAGTCATGCAAGTCGAAGTGTGGTCCAGTACCTCTAAGGTTGCCCTTGCCGTAGTTCACAAGTTTGGGTATCATTCACATTTCTCAGCCTTTTGTCCACAGAAAAGTTAACAAATAGTAGTCCAACTATCTTTTGGCTAGTTTTTTTTTTCAAATATTTTTATTGATATGTTTTTTTAATAACAATAATAATATTAATAAAAACAAAAGAAAATTTAGCACTACAATCAAACAGGGGAATATTAATGTATGTTTACATCCATTTATATGTCATATGATATTACAGGTCAAAATGAACATGTCAATAATAATAAAAATATTTTAGAAAGAGATGATCGTCTTTGAGGTTGTTTATATTAACATATTAAAAAATGAATATCAAATTTAAAAGAAATTAATTAAAACAAAGGTCTGGTCACGTGGAAGTCTAGGAAAAACATTGTATCGATGTCTAATGTTCTCTTCCCACACAGACGATTCATGCTTTAGAAGAGATATATTATCAGAGGGTATGTGGAGTGCTAGCTCACAATTCTTACTTTCAAAGACTGATTTAAGAACTTTGCTAATAGTTGGTATGGTAGTTGACTTCCAGTGTTGGGGGATTACAGTGGTGGCAGATATGAGTAGTACTAACATAATAGTCTTAATTTTTTACAAGTAATCAGGGAATTTCTTAAATATACACAGTTCTAGTGAAAGGGGTACAATTTAATAGATTTTAGAAATAGCCAGTCAATGATCTTCCAAAATTTGTCTAGTTTAGGACAGAACCCAAAAATATGATTGAGTGTGCCTACATGACCACATTCCCTCCAACATGCATTAGTATTTGACAATTTTAGTTTAAACAGTCTAGCTGGAGTTAAATACCATCTGTAAATTCATTTGAAATGTGATTCCAAATGATGAATACATTGTGTAATCCCTTTCAATGACATTAGAAAATCATACCATTTCTCAACTGTATATACCCCACCCAATTCACTCTCCCACTTCGACATATAATCCATTTTAGGAACTGTCTCACCAGCCCAAAAAGCATAACACACAGAGATGGTGCCTTTGCTGCCAGGATCTTAAAGACATAGTTTTTCCAAATTTGATATATCCAATTTTCTTAAATTCAGATTCTGGTCAGAAATCCCCAAATGCTCGCTAATTAATGACACCATCTCCTCATGCATATGGGCATTAAAAATGCTTAACTTAAATTTGTTTTTCAATTGGTCAAAGGTCATAAAATGAGTAGATAAAAATAGGTAATTAATGTGTGTGATTGAATGTGAAGACCAATAATCCATATCCAGCTCAGGATAGCAGAAGGACGAATATTCTTATATATGATATCCCATGATTTAACAGACACTTTGGTGGATGAGTACCAATACAAACAAATAATCAGATACCTAAGGGAACACCACTTAGGATCTGTGCACCATTAAAGACACTCCAGCTGTGTCTGCAGGGCTTAACCCTATAATATATGAATAGAAGGAGACAAAAAAAAATTGAAGTCACTCAAACCACAACAGAGTGGGTGAGTGAAAGCTGGATAGTAGGTAAGTATCTTGTTTAAATAACTATTAACTTTAGCTGGACCAGCACTAAATGTACATATATACACACGTGTCTCAAAACTAGAAACAAAATAGAAAAATGACTAGCCTTATAAGGCTTCTCCACTGACTCATAATGGCAGTATAGTGTCGCCAGTAAATTGCTTAAACTTATACTAGCTTTATTAGACTGCTTGTTTTAGCCCAGGATTTGCCCTGAACCCAATCTTGATTAAAGTAATTATACCAGGGTGGGAGTAAAAACCCTGTTGGTGAAGGTGTCCGAAACCAATGGACACGATATCTAAGAAATAATATACAGTCCTAACAAAGATTAATTACAATGCCTCTCTCCATGGTAAGCCAGCTAGATAGTTAGTACAGACAGAATAAAAAGAGAAAATAATAAAATCAGTGAAAATGCTGCATGTCTATATTAAATACACATCTCAAGTGCATAGGTGATAGGTGCCCAACACCCACTCAGAACATAACATTCAACGCGCATTTCATGCACTAGTGTGTGCACCTTCTCCCCTGACAAAGGTGCAGACGCTAGTGCACCGAAATTAAAAAGGATTTCATTCTCAGATAGTTGAATTTCTCCCTATGGGGGAGATTAAATTTAAATTGTCTCTCCATCTGTTAATTCTGAAAGAACTGCCAAACCATTTGTAAACCATTCTTGAATATTTAAGTCTACCAGATAATATTTAAACCATTCTATAGGAGCTTGGAGGGACATTTTCTCCATACCAAATCTTTTCTTCAGATATTTAACTGTGGATATCAGAGTTTTATTAATCGGATTATCAGAATTTAAGTTTTTAATAAACCTACTATCACAGTTTATAAGATTAAATGGCTCTATGTTATTTAATCCAGCTCTCTAGATTGAGCAAGGTTGGTCTGAGAGCGGAGAAATTATCGGTGGTGGCGAAATTAACCATTGCACTTATTAAATATAATCTTTGTATGTCTGGAAAGGACACCCCATCTTCCCTCTTTGACCTCTGTAATATTTCCAGAGCTATTCTGGGACGTCTATTCTGCCATATGTAGTCAGCGTATTGTCTCTGGAAACCTTGTATAGTCTGGGAGTCTATCGTCAGTGGGATATTCCTGAATAAATATAGAAGTCTAGGTAGTATGTTGGAGTTAATTACTTCAACTCTGCCTAGCCATGAAAGCTCAGTACCTCTCCAGATTTTAAAGTTTTACTTAAATTGCATAGCCAGTTCAGAGTAATTGAGTCTATTAATTAATGTGAGATCTAAGGTTAAACCTAACACCTCTAGCTTGAAATTCTCCTTAAAAAGATCCAAGCTAGGTCCATTTAGGCCCATTGTCAGAATTTGTGTTTTTTTAATATTAGCTTTATAGCCGGATAGTTTGCCAAATTTTTCTACTAATGAGAACAGCTTTGGCAACGAGCCTTCAGGGCCCATAAGAGTCAGGAGCACATCATCAGCATAGAGTGTGATTTTTATCTCAGATTTATTTATCCTCAGACCTTTAATATCTGTGTTCAGTCTAATAGCTGTTGTGAGAGGTTCAATGGAAAGAACGTATAAAAGTGGGGCTAATGGACAACTCTGCTGGGTCCCGTTCTGGATTTGGAACCATTTGTGGGTCCCCATGTAATCTCTAAATATACACTCAATGCCAAAGGCGTACAAAACTTTTTCCAGATATGACCACCCCACCCGGTCGAAGGTCTTCTCGGCATCGAGGGTAATCAGAGCAAAAGGGAATGTTTGTTGGACTCTTTCTAATGTTATCTGATGTAGTCCTCCCCCTCACGAACCCAGACTGATCACGATGAACAATGTGTGGTATAACACCCTTGAGTCTATTGGCCAAGATTCTAGAAAATATCTTTATATAGATAGAGTGATATGGGTCTATAATTACTAATTTGTGTCGGATCTTTATCTGGATTAACATAATAAATTCTTAAAATCATGGAAAGTTAACATGTTAATATATTTGTACAGGAATATAACTTATTAAGAGAATATAACAATTCACCAAAAAAAGAATTCATATTTGCAGTTGTCAATAAAAGTAACTAGAAATTTAACAACTATTTTGACTATTTAAAGAAATTTGCAATTATGCAAAATTATGTTTTGACACTCGCCAGTTTAAGGGTTAGCAAATGTGAGTCAGCATACATCGAATTTCAAATTTGCAGAAAAGGAAAATAATTTAAGCTATTGGTAACAATCTCTATGAAATTAATTAGTAACCTCCAAATGTGCACATTTGCCAAAATAAAACAAGTATATATTTTAATAATAACTTATGTGGGAATCTAAGTATTATAAAATAAGTAAAATATTATGCTTAAAAATGAAATATGAACCTTTTCTACATTTACGATAAGTCTATTATATGTAATTGTATCCATAAAACTAATAACTATAACTAAATAGTATCTAAAATTAAAAACCATGAATCTTTATTGATTCAATAACTTCTTAAGCCTCATTTTTCTTGGTGGTTGTGGTGTTGTTGGTGTATTTGTAGTTGAAGTCGATGAAGTGGATAATTCAGCTGACTCTAGTGAATTTATTAAACCCATTTCTTCTTCTGGGGATGTAATTCTATAGTTATTGATGTTTATTCTTAAAAGGACCTTGACAGGAAAGCCCCAACAATACTTTATATTTCTTTTGTTCCATATGGCATATATTCCATAATTCCATAGTTAGATCTTGAAATTCCTTACTTTTTTTGCATTGTGTATGGGGAAAAGTCCTGAAATATCTCAATATGCTGAAATTCCATTTGCAAGTTAGAGTTTCTGAGTACTGAAAGAAATTCATCTTTAACCCCCTTAAGGACACAGCTTCAGAAGCTGGACATACCCTTAAGGACAGAAGCAATTTATGTAATTTTTGCTGTTTGTCTACAACGGCAATTTGCATCTCTCTCATTTATTGTACCAACACATATTATATACCATTTTTTAGACGACAAAAAGGGGTTTAATTTGATGTAACATATACATATATATGTTCTCATTTATTAAAAAAAAGCAAAATAATGGGGAAAAAAACACAAAAAATATATAATAACTATATTTAATATATTTAGGTAATAATAACGTGTGCATTATATGTCCAGCTTAGGAAAAGTAATCCAAAATCAATTAATTTATGTGTCTTGATTTACAAAGTACATACTATGTATAGGATTTAAATTTATTTTGAAAGTTACAGGTCACCAACTACAAGGTCTAAAACAAAATATCAATGTGAAACAATTTTAGGAGTTCGTATGTTTGTCTTGGAAGTTTAATACCCATCACAGACAGGTCCATCTTTAATATTGAATAGACCCTGGGGAAGCATTTGCTTGGGCCCCCTAGACCCTGCCACTGTCTACTCTTCCCTCACTCCCTGGCATGCAATAAAGCCCTCCACCCCCTCCACGGTGACAGACTAAAGTAGAAATAGACCTGGTGCAAGAATATTTTTGGGCCCCCCCCAATCGCAAGGGTGGCCAGAAGGTAGATCCGTATCTGTTGTGCAACTCCAACAATGCTTGACAGCTGGGGCTCTACCATTTCCCCATGCTTGCAGGGTTGTATTTAGCACCGAGCCGTATTGGTGTGTTTGGATGTAAATATGTTTTTATATGGAGTGTGTTTGTGTGAATGTAGGGGTGTGTTTGTATGTGGCGTTTGAATAAAAGCATGCATTTATGTGTAGTGTTTGTTTTTGAATGTAGGGGTGTGCTTATATATTATTGGTATTTAACTTCAAATTGTGTGTGTTTGTATGTAGTGTTGATGTTTCAATGAAGGAGTTTGTTTGTATGTAGTGTTGAAGTTTGAAATCAGTGGTGTATTTGTATGTAGTGTTGGTGTATCAATGCTGAGATGTATGCATATATGCACATACACTGCCACACACACACTGTGATACACATACACACAGATACACACTCACACACTGAAACACATGCAGATACACAGATATACACACTGACACACTTGCAGATACAGACACATAAACTGACACAGATACAGACAAACATATACACAACCTGACACACATGAAGATGCTCAGGCACACAGGTATACACACTGACTACTTACAGATACTACAGATACACACACTGATAACATACATATAAACACATACATATGCACACGCACATACAGATACACAGACACATATACTGTCAGACATACGAACACAGACACATACACAGGTAGACATACTGATACATACACTGACAGACAAACTGACACACACACATACACTGACAGATATACTGGCACACACACATACCCTGACAGAAATACTGACACACACAGATACAGGCACTGACAGACATACTGACACATACACTGAAAGTCATACTGACACATATACATAGACTGACAGATAAACTGACACACACACACACATACACTAACAGAGATATAGCCACACAAACAGACATACTGACCCTCACACACACATTCACATATACTGCCATAAATACTAACACACACAGACAGACAGACACGCACACACACACACACAGACATACTGACACACACAGACATTCTGACACACACACAGACAGACATACTGACACAGCTAGACATTCTGACACAGACAGACATACTGACACAGCTAGACATTCTGACACAGACAGACATACTGACACAGCTAGACATACTGACACAGACAGACATACGGACACACACACAGCCAGACATACTGACACACACACAGACATAAAGACACACACACAGACAGACATACATGTAAAACTCACATTTTTAAACTCACCCTTGAGTTTCCTAACTGGGTTCCAGTGTGGTGCCTGAGGCTGATGGGAGTGAGGAGCTCCCCTCCTCTCTGCCTCCTTTTCCTTCTCCCTCCCATGCGGCTCCTACTGCCCCCTCCCACATGACTCCTCTTTTTATGGTTGGAAGTGACTCACGGCTGTTACTTCCTCCCACACGGCTGCCGAAAAGCAAGGGGTTGGTCGCGCTGCTTTTAGCTCTTGACCGGGCCCCTGCTAAAAACAAGCCCACCGGGTGGCCCTAAGTGCTGGGGGGAAAAATAATTATTGAGGGCAGCGGGGCCCACAGGGCAGCTGCTTTGGGCCACCTGAAGTCACTGGGCCTGGGTCAGGTGCCCCGTTTGCCCTGCGTTAAAGAGGGCCCTGATCACAGAAAACAAAATTGCCACACAAACGTATATATTTATATAAAGTAGACATCAGAGGCTAGTTAACTAAGGTTATTTTGACACTTTTTACATAGCCATTTCACCGCCAATCTCTGCTAAATATTGGAGTAAAATTGTGTTTTTTCTCTATTTTGGCATATACACATATAACGAGGTTTTTGTAATGTGTATTTCGTAAAGCTGGTGGGTGCTATCCCTGTACCATTGTATAACTTTGCGATTATTCTGTGAAGCTACAATACCATATAGGAGACTTTGCTATTTCAGTTTCTATAGTTGGAATTTTCATAGATGGTTATATGTCTGATTTTGTGGCATTATAGCCATTTGACTGTTCAAATAACCCCACAGAGGCCTTCCATTTGAGAAAGCAGACACTGTAGGGTATCTTATTAGGCATATATTATACCTTAACTTGACACTATTTTTTCACCAATTTAATTCAAATTTTGTGGTGTTGCATTTTTGCTGGGTATTTCGTACATTTGATAAGTGCCACTATCATAAATTCCCCCAAATTATGCTCAGTTACCTTTGCTGAGTAAAACAATAAGCCCAATGTATGACCTAGACACTATTTTGTTAAGTTACAGTGCTGTAAAAGAGAAGTGACAAGTTCATTTTTTTAAGTGTGAATTTACATGGAGGGTTTTAAGGGGTCCGTATTCTATTTTAAAATATGTTAGCAGGCTGCTTTTTCCAACTACCCCAAAAAGGCATACTATTTCTTAAAGAAGACATCCCAGGGTAATTCAAAAGGAATATTTTGAACCTTAGCCTGAAATAATTTGTCCGCTAGCTTGTACCATTTGTAGTGGTAATAAGCATTTTTTTCTGCCTTTTTGGCACACACAGTGAGTTTGTACTGTATATTTTGCAAACCTTATGTGTGCTACAGCTATATAATGCTTCATTTGAGACACAGCCATTTAAGTTTTTTCAAACTTTACATTTTAACGGTGTGTCCATACCCTACTTGTGGCAATCTGGGGTTAATTTTAGTATTGGACAAAAAGTTTCCATGCTGCGTCCTTAAGAGTAGTACTGCAATGACGTAAAATTTCCATCCAGCGTCCTTAAGGGGTTAATATGCCAAAAATTCAATTTTGCCATTACATCTTTGGGGGTATCCCTGGGTGCAGTATTAGGCTTAGGAAGACCAAAGACTCCTACAGCACATTAGCTTGCTGAAGTTATTTTTTTTTTTTAATTTTACAAAATGTTACTAGAATGTTTCAGTAGGATGAAACCTTGTTACACCCCCCTGATGGTC